TCCACACCAGTTTGTAAGAAATACATTGCATCAAATATGATTTTCATGAAACATTAGCTGCATATTTAGTATTACAATATTTCAGCTAAGGATATTTTGTGAGTGCTTTTGTTTGGAAATTCCACTTCAGAATGAAATTCCAAAATGGCTCTTGCTCACAGTCACCAATATGTTCTGCTGCATAATTACAGCAAACTTCCACCTGCATAGAGACCAGGCTTCATAAGTCTATGTGCTTCAGGGTTCTACAGGGAAAATAGTATAAGAGGTTAGACAGATGTTGCTCAGTGGTTGGGAAAGGAAGCCTGTCAAGTCATGGCTGTATATTTTATACCACCTACTGGCAATTTAGAGATATGCATACATGAGGCAATGGCAGGAAAAGAAAGCCTGGAGGCTCGCTTGAAGCCCAAGTGAGCCGCAAGCCTTTTCAGGAACTACAACACAAAAGACAAAAACAGGATGCCAGGTGATGTTACAGGCTTCCCTGGATTTGTGCACAGGCTTCACCCTGTGCCTGTGCAAGCACAGAGCTGCTTTGTGAGAAGTTATCTTAAAGGTCTGCTTCAGATCTGATCACCTGTTTGAGAGCTTACAGCCAAGTTAGGTCTGAACCCCCAGACTGTCATCAGGCATGGGATGATAGCTAAGGCCTTGAAAGCATGTGTGCAGGATCATATGGGAGGTCTTAGAGCTATGAACTATGAATTGTGGTCAATTACCCGAATGCAACCTTGAGAGCTGGGTAAATACAGTTTTGGGGATAGCAAAGAGGAAAAAAAAAAACAAAAAACATACCAGATTTAGGTAAACACACTAGTAGATAGTAAATTTGGATGCAATGACAACTTGCAGACCAGTGAAAAAGAAGTGTGGTAACTAACATATAAAAATAACCCCAAGCAGAGTCTATAGTGAGGTGGAAAAAAATATCAATAAAAACATCATTTTCCTCCTGGTAAAGGACTCATTATTTTATCCACTGCAAGCAGTGTCCTCTAGCTTCCCATCTTTATAAAGTTCAAACCCTTTCAAGCAGCCTTAAGGACCGTATATAGCTCCTGCTTTGTTCCTCTTGTGCTCCATTGCTGTGGTTGCACTTTTCCTGCCAACAAACTCCATTTCCCTTTCCCTGTCATCCTCCCTTCACAGACCCAGGAGCTCTGCTCCCTCCTCTCGACCTACGGGTTCTTCTTCTTGCCTTGCGACACCAGGCCCAGCACAGGCCCATTTCACCACCACCCTTTCTGATTGATTCCTCCTTGTTGTCCCATATCACTTCACAACCTTATTTCCTTTCTTCCCTCTTCCTTCTCCTATTTCTGGAGCTTCTACTATGCCTCTGAAAAGTCAGTCAAACAACACCGTCTGTACCCTGTCTGCCTCCCATCAGTTCTTGGCTGTTATGGAGACTTGAATGCCTCTGTTTCAGGCTCTACCTCTCTTTCTGAGGGATCACCTTTTCTAAGACTTCCCAAATTGTTATCTAGTTCTGAGGCCACCAGCACGCCTCCAGCTCACCCCCAGCCCCCAGACTCCACATCAGCCCAGGGCCACCAGCCCCAGCATGGCCACAGCAGGGCTGAGCTCCAGCTCCCCATGGTCCTGCCCCACGATGCCCATGTCCCAACCTGGCCTTGGCCCATCCCTGTCCTGTTCTTGTCCCAAGGGAGGTGCCCAGTGTCAGTGCCCCCAGTGCCCTGCTCCTGGTGGGGCAGGGGGACGGGACAGGTTGCCAAAAGAGGTCTGTCAGAGGTCTTGCAGAGATCTGGCATAGGGATCATGAGAGCCTTCTTTGAGTGGCACTGCAGGTCTCCTTGTTCTCTGTGTTGTCAACATCTGGCTACCCAGCTCCTCCACAACATCCCTTTTTGGCTTTGCTTCCAGCTCTTTCCCATTCCTCACGACCCACTGCATTTGTCTTCATTATGCTGACTTAGGTCTAAACCTTTCCTCTTACACTGGAAATGTCAGGGTCGTGCAGGTGTTTGTAGAAATGCTAAGGTAATGAGAGGTTCCCTTCAGTATTGTAGCCACCAGAGGCAAAAATAAAACCTTCATTTTTCTGATAGAAGATATTTTCCTGAGACTACACATCCTGTGCCAATTCTGGAGAGGAACGGTTTGGTGGCTGCATGTCTGGTTGGCCCTGAAATCTGAGTAGAAGCAGTTGTGACAACAAGATCTGTTTCTAAAATAAATGGTATGGAAAGGATCCTGACTAGGGGGAAGGACATGAGTCAAACTGGAGGAGCTTAAGCCATAAAAGGCAACCCTGGAAATGTATTATTCCTACCTAGAAAAAGACAGTCAAAGGTAAAACAATCTTCACTGCTGGAACAAATAATACAATTATAGAAAATTAACTCTGACACATAGGGTTCTGAATCTAACAGGAAGAGTGCCAAAAAGAAAAAAAGGCAGAAAGCACAGATAGCTAAGTGTTTAAATTAGTTTCAGTAAAGCAGATGAAATAGTCCCACATGCATTTCTTTCTATATACACCCCACAAATGTTTTGTATGCATTGTACACGAGTGATGTATGCAAGGCAGCTTTTACTGATGTAATTCAGAAAAACAAAACAAATCAACACAAAAACCCAGCGTGTCAGCAACACTTACGGTAGCATTGTTTTAGCTAGCTACGTACTTGTTTTACTGTTTACAGAAAGCAAGAGAAATCATTCCTTCAGTGGCACATCACCACCTTGTGGAGGATTTTAATCAGTGCATCTGGCTTTCTAAGAATAAGAAGGCTGATCAAAGTCAATTAACTTCAACGCAAGTTGGAGTCTAAATGAATTTTGCGTAGTCTGTGATCTTGCCTGTACTAGGGAATTGATTTGCATAGCTACAAGAGATATTCAGGTATCATTTAACTATTCTGGAACAGCTCTTTGAGAGCACAGGAACATTTTTCAGGTACAGCTAAAACTGTGTGCATTACATTGGAAAAACTGTATTTAACTTCCCTAACTTAACAGATCTAATTGAATGCAGTTCATTTGCTGAGACACTGGACTAGATGAATGTAGCACTCACATTGTCATCAGGAGGCAGTAAGGCAATATGCAAATGTTTAAAATAAACCACTTCTTCCTGTAGTCTTCTAACTTTTCCTGGCACACCTTTATCTTTTGCTCTAAAGCATGGGGATTATACAAGCGTGAACTTTCAGTGACCCAAAATTCTTAAAATCCTTTGTAAGGTGCCATGGTGACTGCTCAAGGCTTTCAGTACTCTAGGCAAAACTGACATAAATAGCTTAGTGGACATAGGGCTCACTGCTCATGTTGGGAGGTATTCAATTTCTAGCTGTGCTTAATTCAGATAAGACACTCAGCTTTGGTCTTCTACTTTACCAGGCTACTGGATACTTTAACTTAAGTATCTCTCAATGTCTCTTTTGAAGCTGTTTTGTTTTTACATAAGTATGAATGGAAGCTGGAACACTTTTTTTAAGGTTGCTTCAAACAATAAAGATTATTCCTCATAGAAGATATTTAAGCTGCAAATCTCTTCCTTGCAGAGTAACATAAATGCTAGAAGCATATATATGTCTTCAAAAAAGGGGTTGCACAAATTCATGGAGTAAAACTTTGCTGATAGCTGCTATATGCAAAAATCCACACCCGAATCACAAGTCTATTAATAGAGAGTGGAAAATATTCAGGGAATGGGACATCATTATGCTCTTGAACTCTTCTCTAGGCATTGATAACTGAAATCTCTCAGAGACGGGGTACTAGGCAGTTTTTGGGTCTTGTACAGTATACATCTTCCAGGGCACTGGAGGTAGATGCCCTGCCTGCCACGATACCAGCTGTTTAATTCTGGCTCAATGAGCATTGATTCTCTTTTATAAAGTAGAAGAGCTTCACTAAGAAAGGTTAAAAAGAAAAATCTCTACAGAGGTTGCCTGGTGCAATAGTGGAAGGTTTCCCTGCCCATGGCAGGGATTTTGGAATTAGATGATCTTTAAGATCCCTTCCAACCCAACCCATTCTGTGATCCTATGATTCTATGGAAACACATGACAAAGACTCTTAGTATGTCCCCAGCTCCATCCCAATCTCTACATTTGACGAGTAAGAGGCCCCAGAAGCCATCCTCAGACAGAGCCTGTCTGCAGGCACTGACAGAAGCTGGGTATGCCTTTTTGGGAGCTGGCCATAAACCTTGTCAGCACCTGCCCACAATCCTGCAGCTGCCATGTTGGACTGCCTCGGTTTCAGGGTTAGCATTTCCTTTTAGCATTAAACATGCCAGACATCTCCATTTTCTTACAGTTTTTTACTCCCTAGGAGAGCACCCAGGCCATCAAGGTGTGAGGTACTTAGGGTGAATCACTCCTGTTCTTTGCTCTCTCTCTCCCTCTCTCTCATTCTCTTCTGTGAGAGGCTGTGATTCACTTATCATGGCAGAGCAGGGAAACTCCAATCTCAAACAAAGAGAAATGTTGGGAGAGAAAAACTATTTCCTGTCCAGGGCTATAGCTACAATAGCTGCAAAATTATGGAGCAGCTTAGAATGATTATCACCTAACAGCTTCTAGTCTACACAATCCATTTTTTTTATTTCTCTAAACTACAACATAAATTACCAACAGCATTTTCTGCACATGATGCATAAAATCTATTACTTAGTCCAAACCCATGTGATTTCCTGACTGGTGCATTGAGTACAAGCTGCAAGACAGGAAAACTACAGAAAGCCTTTCAAAGGTGTTCATGTTGAATAGAGACAACCCAAAAAGCCCATTGGGAAGGCTTTTTCTTTGGCACCTGATGGTAGAGCTCAGTGTGTTCCTGGCAGAATTCAGTTACTCTATTAATCAGAGCATCTGAAATCCACCAAAAAGCCAACTCCAATGGCTAGAGAATTCAGTATGAACATAATTGCTTTTGCTTGGGATTATAATTAGGACCCATCCGACAAATGTCGTTCTAGTTGGACCAAGGATAATGATCAGGATGTAATGAGTTGTGGGGATGCTTACCTTCTGGGCCATGGCTCCCTGTGTGCTGAGGAGAGAGCTGCATTCCCCTTCATGGTATTCTTCTTTACATTCACGGCAGAACACAAACTGGAAAACAAACCAAAGCACACAAGTGATAAAAACACATTAGGGACATAGACAGCAGAGTACAACTGTGAAGAGTCATATAGCAGATGATCTCTTGCCCTTCTCATCCCATTAAATTCCCATAATCCTCCTAATTGTGCATCTTATTATGCAATCTGATCATTAACACAACAATTCTGCAGTTATTATTATACATTTCTTTGGTGAAGTAAAATAAATGCCATTATTAAAAATGAGATTTTGCTACATGGTCGATTTAAGGACATAAAGTCATTCTAGATACTTCTGCGTGTGTTTGTGCTGCAGTGAAATCTATTTATACAAAAAGGGCGCTGCCTGAAACAAGTAGTTCTGCTCTATAGTGTTTACCAATGTAAGCAGTCCATTCATAGTTCTGAATCTAATGCATTCTCTATGGAAAGCTGTTACTGAATTTACTGCGACATGATCACTTTATATAGGTTATATGAAATGCCATTTTCTAGGAAATTATACCCTTGCCATGGACTTTTGTAGAATGGTTTAAAAAAATCCATAGTAAGAATACAATGACAGGTTACATCACACGGGTTTTAAAGGACTCCCTCTAGACCCTTATTACATTTCTTGCAATTGTTCTGGTTTCATCCTCCTTAAATTACATTGTTCTTTACATAAGAGCTCATTCAAAAGTAATGTAATGTCTTTAGCAGATGAGTAAAACAATTGTCCCTGCCTTATCCTGAGCTGCCACTGCTCCCTAAACTGGTACGTATGTATCAAGTTCAATGCCTTTTTTAAACTCTAAAATGAAGATATCTGTCTTGACATGTGTCAAAATCTTTGACTCATCAATGCTGCATTAAATTCTGTGTCCTTGCAGGTAAGAGGAAAAGTCAATAATGTAAAATGGGTCTCTCTTAATACTTTTTTAAAGCCATGTCATGATGCCAGCCCAGACTCTCAGCAGTAAGCTGTTCTGACTGGCATTATAAGCAAGACTGATAAAACAGCCTTGATTTTTGATGCAGAGCTGCATTCACCAGTAACGAATAAAGGATATCAGGACATGACACTGGAACATTTGTCTGCCACAAATTCCATCTTTTGCATTTTCATTTTGAACTCCTTCAAGCCTTATTGTCACTTTTCTAAGAACTACTGAAAATCGTATTTCATTGTCATGCTAAAGAAACTGTGCTTTTGTGAAAAGAAACATTGTGCGAGTCTAAAAGGGTTGACTCTGTTATTCAGAAAGTCAGGGAAATTTGGAGTGGGGAAACGGAGTGGGTGTTCCAGCTTCTAGAGATAATGAACCAAATCATTTGTTTGCTTTCTTGTCACTTCTCTAACTATTTTGTCAATGATTTTAAATCTTTTATTTTACTTCATCTGACATTGATCTGTTAATTCATTTGTGTTTCTTAGCAAACAGCTTAACAATGAAGGCACTTCTGCAAGGTATGTTATATGAAAGGTTGCATTATTGTAATTACAACAATTTGCACCGCATCCCAAAGTTTCATCTATGTTAAACATTGCCCAGACATATAGAGATGTGTGTACTCTCTGTCTGGATACCTAATATCTCAAAACTTATCACTTATCAATGACGGTTATAGCCAGGTTTAACCATATTTCTTACTGTGTGTTCTATTCTCTTTTACTTTCCTAACTTTATTTCCTTATAAACATATCTGGCTGAAAACGTTTGTCTGAAAGGGTTTTGTATACACTTACTATACCACTGCCTTACCACAGAATGCCTCAGTTTCCTCTCCTCACTCCAGTCTTTCACTTTTGCAATTACAATTTTAAACATTTCATAAATATTGAAAAGGAGGATATGCTGAAGAAAGAAAGAAAGGGGGAAAAAAACAACAAAACCAAACCAAACCAACCAACCACACAACAACAACAACAACAACAACAAACAGGACATATTTTGTAAAGACATTCCAGCTGTCTAACAGTGTAGTTTAGGTTGCATTGACATTTATGATAACAATAAAATTAATAAACTCATGTTATATTACTTAAAGGTGTGAAATGCATTTTCTCACTATAGAGGTCACTCTCTGTACTTGCCTTTAAAATTGCCACTTAAAAAAGTGCTCAGGAGTAAGATCAAAGTGTTGTTTACCAATGTTTTCCCCACAGGCTTTCTGTACTGGAAGCGTGTATGACAGTGTAAACTGGGCCTTCCACTATCAATTTTATATCTTGAAAGTAAGTCTGTGAGTGACCCTGTCATACGCTTGTGATGGAACAAAGCCTGATTTTTTTGGTGAGCCAGGATACTCACTTCACCTCTTATTAGATAATGGATGAGTCGTAAAATCAGTTCTGTGGCAAAAGACCACCCTGGAGGCTGATCGGTTTGTCAGAATAAATAGGCATCTCCCCACAGAAATGCATTAAGCACTCCCATTTTATGGCAAAGCATGCATCATAAAGAAAACGTAGGTCATTTACAACAAAGCAGTTTGCGATAGCTCCATTCATTTTTTACATCCAGACATGAAAAATATAATAAAGTTTCAGTAATGAAATACAGCAATTGCAAAAGTGCTGTCATTTAACTTCTATTTTGTAGCTTCATTAATATTAATACAGTTATTTTGCCTTTGGAAATATAAGGATTTAAGTTTTTCAGTCAGGATTTAATGCTTCTGCATAAATTTAATATTAGTATGTGTTTAAAAAATACTATAAATAGTGTAATTAATAACAACAGTCACACTTTCTTTCCCTTTATTTGCCGAAAGGTTGGCAGATTACAGTGATAACATAAATTGTTCAAGAATAGTGAATGTAGAACTTACTGTTGTTACCCTTGAAAGATTCTTCAGCTAGAAAGCAACTAGCACAAAGAATAAATCCCAAAGGTCTGAAACCTACCCTCTAGGTTTACGCATTAAAATGAGGATTAGCAGGGAAATCCCCAAAGCACTTGAGGGATTTGGGCACTGGAATAAATATATAACCTGTAAGTATGCTACTACGGGCTTTTGAATATCTGTAAAAATGTATAAGATAGGCCTAAGCAGAAATTCTGAATACAAGTGATCTCAAAACAGAATGTATAAAAAGTCTCAACAGGGATCCAAATCCTGTTTTAAAAATCCTCCTATCTTTATCATCACTCAAACAGAAGGTAAAATCCGTCCAAACTCTGGCCTGTTCAATGGAATTTGTACCCCACGGCTGATATGTGCAGCGCCAAGAGTGATGCTGAAAGAAACCTGCGATGATGAAACCATTATTCCTGACCAGACCATTCATAAAGTTTCAAGTTTGGAAGAGGAAACAGAATATAGCTCTAATTTTTAAGGAAAGGAAAATGAGTTTGTCATTTATATGCTGAATTGGTTTTTGGAAGAAGGATTTTGCCATTTCTTTTTTCTCAACATTTGTAAGATTTGCATTTTGGGGGATTAAGCACCACACCTCTCATTCTCTTGCCTACTCCACGTATCTCTTCTTTCGTCTCTAACACTGATCATCTCTCCCTGTAATTCTTTTAATTTCAAATTATCTCTCTTCCAACGTCAATACAATACTCCCATTCATGAATTCCCACATGAAGCCTCAAGTTTTGGCTCCATACTGTTACTTTTAAGTTACTCTTCTACTCAGATATTGCTTGTCTTTTTCACTCTCACCTCCTCTTGTGTCTACACAGCAAAATGAAGGCAAGGTTGCAATGAGGTAGTTATAGCTGAGGTTTAAGTTGCGGCACCATGGGTACACTACTAGGGACTTCGTAAGCTGACAGCTCAAGTGTGGGCACAGATTTCTTACCAGATTTCTGCAGTCTATGTTGAAATCCAGGCTGCCATGTTTTCCCTCCTACAGTTAGCACTATTAGCTAGACTGAAAACTGTTTGTGACATATGGTTTGTCCAAGTGTTGTCCAAAACAGACACTGAAGTCCACATTAAAGACATCAAGTGAAGAAAGACCCACTCATGCCTCTGGCACTGTGTCTTAATGGCCCTCCAAATCATTGTTAAAAATTGTAACTAACATCTACTTTGACTCTCCCTGGATTCAGCTTCCAGACACTACTTTCTGCTTCACAATTATCTGCGAAAATATCTTTCAGTATCTCCTATTTTCTTTCTGCAAAAGTACCTATATACTATCATGCACCGAGCCTGACTGAGTTTAAGAAGAGATTGGACTGTGCACTTAGTCACATGGTCTGAACTTTTGGGTAGACCTGTGCAGTGTCAAGAGTTGGACTTGATGATCCTTAAGGGTCCCTTCCAACTCAGGATATTCTATGATTCTATGATTCTATGATACCCCTGAATCTTCTTTAACCTAAGCAGAGACACTAAGTTTCTCACTGGATAAGCCATTCTGTTACTCCCTCTGTCCAGCCCCAAATCATATTCATAGCACTTTTCTAGGGACTTGCTTTTGACATTAATTATATTTGACTAATCTTTGTGTCATTGCTGTGCTGTATCAGCAGAGTCTTTTTATTTACTTCTGGATCACTGTCAAGTACTGAATTGTGACAGGTATGCTATCAGTCCCTGCTGAATGCTGCTAGCAATACCCTGCTGATCATGCAGTCTTTACAGAAAGACTGCTTTCTGTGATCTGTCAGTTTGTAATCCACACAACGACCAACCAGGGAGGCATGCATACTATACCATCCGACAGTGATGAGACAATGCTGCTGCACATGTCCGAAACATTGCAATTGGAACCCAGTCCCCTAAAACTCTTTATGGATGTGTTATGGTGGTGATTTCCTTATCAGAATATTCTGTAGATTGAAGTCATACAATATATGAAATTGATTTTTTTTGCAATTACTCTTTCTTATCAAACTTAGAATTTCGTCAAAGAATGAAATCAGTTCCTTCTGATACAACCTATTGTCACTGAGAATATATTGACTAGCAATATTATAAAAATTGTTTTGTCTTCTCTGTTCCTTTGTCTTTTTTCCTTGATCTTCCCTCATTCATTCAGTACTGTCTGTCTGGGTCAGTTGCTACAGA